AGCCCTGTGATCTACACGCCCAGGATGGCTTCAGGCTGGTCCTCCCGATTCCCTCAGCTCTGCAACCCCTAACATCTCCCTGGCCTGAGGACTTCCTAGGCAGAATCCGGAGGGGGTACTGTTCTGCCAGAACAGAAGCTTTTGTCCAGGAAGTCATTCATTGCTTCCGAAGATAGAAAAATGGACACTTTTGTATGGTGCATTTCCAGATAGCAGGGTCAGCCTGCAAGTCCATTTCATCAGAACACACTGTAAATGGCCTTTGGAGTGTAAGAGGATTGTATTGTTGGAAGAGCCCAGGAGTGAGAAATGCAGCATCTGGAGGTCAATAGTTATGGCCATGGGTCTCCCTGAGCCATGTGCCTGACCAGAACCACTGCAGGAGGAGACAGCTGCCCTGCTTGGACTTGGACCCCTCAGCTGGTCCCCCAAAGCTCCCGGGAACCCTTACAGACCACACGCGGTCTGTCTGTTTAGAAATAGAATAATGCTTGGAGGAGAAATGAGGAACGTAATAGGATTTCAAAAGCCACAGGACCCGATGGGGCTACAGATGGTGGAGGGGCTGGGAGGGGGGAATGGGGCCTGGGTTTATGGTGGGGAACGTGGCCTCGGGGAGGGCCTGGGATCCGCATCACATGCGTCGCGTCCAACCTCATTAGCTGGCCCAGCGGGACTCCACCGCCACACTAGTGTGTCTGCCATGAGGAGAATGATGCTCTGAAGATACCGTTACGGATTAGGGGCAGCAAAAGGCTACAAGAACACAGCTAACTGACTCAGCCAGCACCTGCCTAGGATGGGTGGGGGCAGGGGCAAACCTAAGGACTAATGAGGGTGGGGCTCACACCTGTCACAATCCTTCTCCCAGCATATGAGAGAAATAGAGAGAGAGACAGAGAGAGATAGACAGAGACAGAGAAGTGGAGTTTATCAGTGAAGACCCAGGGAGCAGATTGAACTGGAATGTGCCAGTCCAGGCACTTTTTTCAAGACTTGGGGAGGAAAGGAAGATATAAAAGAGGTTTCTTTGTTTTCTAGAAGCTTCTTTGGGGGTGTGCCAATAGCAGCTCACAGAGTTGCCTTTCCCATGTTCCTTTCCAGGCAGTGCTCAGGGCTCTTTACCCCCTTAGTCTGTCTGCTTGAGGCCCTTCAGCAGGGCCAGGGGTGGGGGTAGTCAGAAAGTCCCCTGCTCCTGCCTCAATTGTCTGACCCACTTCTCTGAACTCATTGGGCATCCTTCTGGGTTCCCTTAGGCTACTCTCTCAGTCCCCCCTTCCCTGGCCTGGGGAAAGCATAACCTGCTTAGTAGGGAGAGACTCAGCCTGTCCTTTTGATGTAGGCTTTACTCATCCCAGTCAAAGGCCAGGTGGCTGCAGGCTTAATCTGGTCATTTCTTTAGGCAACTGGGCATGATTCTGTTATAGCAGTGGCCACCTTCTTGTGTCTGTTTGCCTGTGAGCTTTCTCCAGAACTAAGGGTGGAGGACAGTGGGAAAGATTGTAACCTCCCTCGTGTTCCTGCTGGAGGCCTTCCAAAGGCCATACCGGTCAGCTTCAGCCTGGGCCCCTGGGAAGAGTGAACAGCATCAAGCTGGGCCTCTTAGCCTAAGGCTCTGATGGACGCATCCTTCATTTTGGTTTTCTCATGGCTGGAACTAACCTCACACCAGAGAAGAGAAAGAGAGCCCTGCTACCGTCCTGTCAGCCTGAACTAAGCAATTTATCTATACCAGAGAACAGAGCTCTGTTGGTAAAAAGGCCACCCTAACACCCACAGTTCTACTGACATCTGTCCATCCCCATTCCCAGAACTCCATGTGACCATGAGATGCTTCTAGAAGTGCAAGAAGTGGAATGGGGAGCCCACTTTGGAAATGGGCTTCCAAAGTGCCTGCATGAGGGCAGGGTTTGGGGAGAAGCCCTCCTTTTGCCAAAGTCCCCTTTCTGACCTGGAAGGCAGGTAGGTGGAGACCCTACCTGTGTGTACATCCCAAGTTCCGGATCTTTGAGTGGGCTGGCAGCAGAGTTGCTGGGGCTGACAGGAAGATGCAGCCTGAGTAGGGGGGCTCATCATCACTTTCTGCTTCTGAGGTAGCTCCTTTCCTGCCCCTCATGGCCCCAACACATTCTCCGAGGCCCCTCCCCCTCCTCCTGTTTCCTTCTCTTACATTTTCTTTTTTAAAAAAAATTGTGGTGTGTGTGTGTGTTGGCTCATATGGGATACCTTCCTCAAACACTCTCTACCTTATTGTCTTAAGCCAGGGTCTGGACCTCACTGATTGGCCAGGAAGCCCTAGGACTCTCCTGTCTCAGTGCACCTTGTGTTCATCACTCAGTGACAGGACCACAGACCCGTAGCATGGGCTCAGCTGTCTATGTAGTTGCTGGGGGACCAAACTCAGGTGCTCAAGACTCAAGCATCTTACCTCCTCTCCCCAACCCATCTCTTCTCACCTCTTCCTTCTTGTCAACTTCATTCCTCCTCCACCATCCCACCCCCTCCCTTCCTTTCATACCTGTCTCTTCTTTACTCCTTTAATCGTTTTCACCTTTCCCTCCTTCCTTTCCCCCCCTTCCCCCAGAAGAAATATTTAATGGCTATTAAATTATTTTAAGCCAACTTTCTTTTAAAAGAAAATAGCTCGGTGATAGTGCTGACTCAGGACCATCTCCCTGTTTAATATTGAATATGCAATTAATAGATAGATGTTTAGGTTTGGCTCTTCTCTTCCCTCCCTTTCCACCGCAGCAAGAATAAAAGAGCTGATTAATCTGGCTTGGGGCAAGTGTCAGAGCAGGAGATATATGGGAGAAAGGCGATGAGGTTAGCAGCTTGGAGTTGGAGAGCAATTGCCTCCCAGGCAAGGGATGGTTGAAGAGTATTAGAGTAGGCACTCAGCTCAGCTGAGGCTGTACAGACGCCCCACACCCACTTCTGTTCTGGAAAACCTGCTGGGGCCAGGCCCGCCTGATCCCTCTGAGATTCTCTGGGTGAGGCCTCGTTTGTGCCACCTGGTTTCTTTCCCAGCTCTGGGGGAGCCCTTTCTCTCAGGTCCAGAAGTACCATTTCCTCATGTTGCCTCCTCCAAGTTATCTGACTGTCCGTCTCTGGGATAACTACTGGCACTGACTGTCCAGGCAACCTGCACGCACTTGAGAGCTATCGTGTGGCTCCTTGGATACGAGGTACTGCATGCCTGGTGACTCACTGGGCCTATGTTCTAGAGACCATTTCTGGGAGAGACCCTGATCCCTGCCACTGGTCTCCTAAGCCCTGAGTGAGGCTAAGCAAGGCCATGACCCTACCTTCATCAAGAAGGGAGCCAGAGTGGGAAGAGGGAGCCATCTGGGCTTGCTCACTTAGGCCCTTTATACCTGAGTGTATTATTTCTCAATTATCAGGGTCCTGAGATCCTCAGAAAGCCCTGGGTAAGATGTGTCCATGCGCTAAGACATGAGGTGACTTTGGGAAGCAACAGGCATCCTCCTAAGACTGATTTGGGTAGAACCTGAATCTCAGGCCAAGAAGGGATTGAGCCAGATAAGCAGCTTGAAACAGAGGGCTCAAGGGAGTGGTTTGGGAAGAAGCATAGACCACTGGAACCAATGCCACCTCTAGTCATGCTAGTGTCCCTTCAGGACAGCTCAGAGATTCAAGTATCTTTGGGTCTGACCAGGGACCGAATTTGTCCACATTCCTGAGGAAGTAGCTGTGGGCATTGCTCAGTGCTGAGGCCAGGCAGGAAACAGTATTTGTGAAGCTGGGGGCTGACTCCATGAGAAGCAGAAATGGCGGTATCTCTTTTCCAAAGCTGTCAGTCCGGATCCTGCAGGGGCCTGCAGCTTCCTTCCCTCCCTTGGGCTGAGCGCTCTCTCTCTCTCTCTCTCTCTCTCTCTCTCTCTCTCTAGGCAGTATACTCACTACCATGGAAGAGGCTGTTTGCTGTGGAGAGAGTCTGAGCCTGGGTGCCAGGGGCCTGACCTTCGATGCTGGAGGTATACTTTATCATTCTCTTAGTTTCTGTTCACATTGTGGCACAGCTGAATCCTATCTTGGTGGTACCTAGAAACAGGGCTGTGCCCAGGGTGGGCACAGATCACCCTGGAGCTGAGGCGGGGAAACATTGTAGCTACAAAGCACCGTATTTCCAGGAGAATTGTTGCCTGGTAACAGAGATGTCCCTGGCTAACTGCAAGTCTTGTCTTCTCATGGATGAGCTTCTGAGGGTATCTATCTATCTATCTATCTATCTATCTATCTATCTATCTATCTAT